AAAAAAAAAAAAAAAAAAAAAAACAAAAAAAAAATGTATTTCCCGCCACCGATACGTAATCGGCTATTTGTCTCCTCCGGCAAGAGAGAGAGAGAGAGTGGGTGGAAGACGTTAGGGAGATGGATGGATGTTTCGGTTATGGGGATTGGCCATGATTTTTATGGCGGGTCCGAGGGGCATGGTTTCCACCGTACCAAGGGATCATTGGCTTGCTTTTCCTCTCGGAGGACCTGTGTGACATATATAAATGTACGTACCTGGTTGGACGCAAGGCTCAATGTCGGCAGAAATTAACATGAGTTAGTGCTGCACTTATAATCTTTACTTGAAATAAGTACCTACAGGTATACGTGCACATATATTTATATATAAGTATACGAAAAGTTTTTAAATTTAATTAAAGTACTGTTACACAATCAATCAAGTGTAAAAACGAAACGATGACAAATAAAAAATACGATGTTTTTTAAGTTTCTCTATTGCATTTAAGTACTTGATCTTGCGCGCGCAGATACAGATATGGTTTTCTCACAAAGTCCCATTGACCTGTTACTCAATGTATAACATAAATTGATATAGACATACATCGAAGCATCTCCGTGGGACAGTGCAGTTTATCATGTGCATGATGGGATTCATGTATACAATATATGTACTCTATAAAATCTTTATTGTCGGCTCACATAAACTTACTCTACTTATATATTCGTCAGTGTTGTTTATTTATTATTATTTTTTTCTAATTTTCAGCGCATTGGTCTTTATTTGTTTATTTTTTTTCTTTCAATATTGGGCATAAGAGAGTACCATGACTCGCAAGACGACGAATAAAAATAATTGTTTTAGTTTCGAAAAATCAGAAAAATTGATCAACATTTGTCAAAACCATGCATACAATTTACAAAATCTTCACTGGCCTGACTGCGTTCCAATGAACATTTTCCACACGTGCATACACCCTGCTAGCATTCGTTATATTAATGAAAAAAAAAAAAAAAAAAAAATCCAAGTAACGCTATCGCGACATCCACCATGTGTATCCCTGACTTTGTGAACACAGTGGAAAAAACCTTACTCACAACAAAAATGACCTTTTACACTTTGGGGGCATCGAAATCACTATTCAAAATTCCTTTTAAANAAAAAAAAAAAAAAAAAAAATCCAAGTAACGCTATCGCGACATCCACCATGTGTATCCCTGACTTTGTGAACACAGTGGAAAAAACCTTACTCACAACAAAAATGACCTTTTACACTTTGGGGGCATCGAAATCACTATTCAAAATTCCTTTTAAATTCCAATAATCTTTCGATACTAAGGTACTATACTTACAGACGCTTCGCGTTTTGGCAGATAGCTCGTTTCAACGTATATATAAACAGCGTCGTTTTATCGCATTCGCGTGTAAATATATACTATATATATATATATAAATGCAGGTATAGACGATGAAAGGCGGTGCGATTTAGGTACATCTATTCGTGTGCTCTAATATCAATTATACTTTTTATTGTTCACATGTATATGCATGTATTTATGTATGTATGTATGTGTATATATTATCTCGTGTGCGTGGCTGTGCTTCTTTTAAAATAAACATGTATACATATATGCACGTGTAATTTCTATAATAATATTATTCACTGACTGCCTTGGAGGTTGATCACAAAAAATGAGATATTACACAGCGTGTGGCTCCAACAACACACCATTAATCGTCCTAAACTTACATGTACACGAAAAACTTTGGTTGTACGTACGCGTGCATGTTTTTAGCCCCGCGATACATGTGGCGGAAGGGATGCAACATGCTAAGACTCGTTGACTTGCAACGAGAGATTGTTTTTGTTTGTCATATAGTTATAGAAAATTATTCTTGGAAGCCATATTCGTAACCGTCCAACTTTTGCAAAATGAACCGCGTAATCAATTGCACTTAAGTGTATACGATTAATCAATACACACGATGTAATCCCTTTTAATCCACGGTTGTACGCGCGATACGTAACGCGCCGGCCCCATCCCCGGCGATACAATAACTTTCCCCGAGCAAACACACCCCACGAGATAACTCACGCGTCGCTTGCTCCTCTCTCGCTTGTACCAAACAATAATGCTCGTTCTTCTTCTTCTTCTTCTTTGGCAAAGTTCGGCCAAGCGTTCCCCGGCGTTAATCCAAGTCCATCAAAAGTTCGTCTCCACCTCCGCCCAATAATGTACACGGAAACCCTTTTTGATGGGCCAAAGTCCTGGGCGGGACTCTGTTGTATACGTAAACCGAAACGTTTACTAAAAAAAAAAAAAAAAAAAAAAAAAAAAAAATAATTGGCCCACGCGTCCTTAGGTCGCGGTGAGCGCCTCGAGCACCTCCTCGGGCGTCCTCTTCATCTTGCGAAAGTTCTCCCAGTGCTCCCTCGGTACGGTCCACTCGAGGAAGACCCCGAGGTTGGTCTGCAGGGCCTCGAACTCCGGCACGAGGACGCTCGGCTTGACGGCCCCCTTGCCCGCCGAGAGCAACGAGTCGACCAGCACCTCGTCTATCAGCCGCTTGCCAAAGCCCAACTCGTCGAGCCGCTCCTGCCTCGAGATCCTCTTGAGCAGCACCGCCAGCAGCAACCGTATCTTCTCGATCGACATGCTCCTGTAGCGCTTTATTGCGCTCGCCGACGCGGGATCGGCCACCACCAACGGGTCGTTGAACACCGACGCGCTACCGTTGCTACTGTCCGAGGAGGAGGAGGAGGTGGAGGTGGTGGGCGACTCCTTGCCCCGGTGGCAGTCCTTCTCGTGGCTCTCGAGGTCGCTCTTGATCCTGAAGAAGCTGTCGCAGCCCCGGCAACTGTACGGCTCGGTGCGGCCGTGTATGCACTTCATGTGCTTCTTCCAGTGGGGCAGTTGGGTGAAGCCCGAGTTGCACTCGGCGCACTTGAAGGGCCGTTCCCCGGTGTGGCGCCTCGTGTGTAGTTTCAGGGCCGTCGAGTGGGCAAAGGCCTGCCAACAGACGAGACAGCGGAAGGGCCGTTGGCCAGAGTGGGTCCTCTGGTGGACGGTCAGTTGGCTCTTTTGGGCGAAGCGTTGGCCGCAGGTGGCGCAACCGTGGGGCCGGTCACGGGCGTGGGTGCGCATGTGCTGGGGCAAATGGCCCTTGAACGTTTTGTTGCAAATGACGCACAAAAAGGACTTTACGTCCTTGTGTAGGCACTCGAGGTGCTTTTTGAGGGCGTCCCGGCGAACAAAGCCCCGACCGCATATGTCGCACTTGTGGTCCTTTTGGTTGTTGTGGCGCTTGAGGTGGAGGGCGAGATTGGCGGCGCAGGTGAACGTGCCCGAGCACAATTGACAACTGTACGGTTTGACTTGGCTGTGGGTGCGCCGGTGCTGGACCAATTGGCCGCCCCGGGCGAAGCTCTTGTCGCACTCGGCGCAACGGTACGGCTTGAAACCCGTGTGGGTGCGCACGTGGAGCTTGAGCCGCTCCTTCAGGGGAAACTCCTTGCCGCACTCGTCGCACTTGAACAACGGCCCGGCCGAGTGGACGACCTTCAGGTGGTTGCGCAAACCCCCGCTTCCCTTGAAACGCGCGCTACACAACTCGCAACCGTACCTCCTCGGCCCATCACCAGCCTCCGACCTGTCCTTCTCCACCGCATCGTCGTCATCGCCATCGTTGTTGTTGTCGTCGTTGTTGTTGTTGTTGTTGTTGTTGGTTTCCCGCTCCGCGAGGATGTTGGCCTCGATTATGTCGTTTATCTTGCTCCGCAGCTCCGACCCGTTCTCCTCCTTGGGCTCCGCCACCTCCATCACTTTCTTCTTCTTCTTCTTCGGTGGCCTGCCCCTGGGCCGGCGGACCTTGGCTTCCTCCCTGGGGGGCGAGTCGGGCTTCCGGTGGTGCTTGTACACGTACACCTCCTCGTTACCCCCGTTCAAGTACTCAAAGTCCCCGTTGACCCCGTTGTAATAGTCCTCCTCCTCCTCCGTCTCCTTGAACTCGTCGCTCCTCTTGCCAGCGCGGCCGAACTCGTCGTCAACGTCCCAGGCCTGTCGTTTACCCGGTTGGTACCCGCGGGCGAAGCTCCTCAGGGCTTTGAGGCCGTCGGTGTCCTTGTCGTCGAGGGGCGGCCCGTTGATCCTCGAGTGCTCGACCGGTTTCAACTCGGTCAGTTGGACGAGCTCCTCCTGGGGCTGCTCGCTCGCCGGCTCCGCGGCCAATTGCTGGGAATTCGTCATCGGTGCTCTTGGACTCGTCTTTTTTTTTGGGGGGGGAGGGGGGGATGGGAATCTCATTACCTCGAGCCGTGACAACGCGCCTCGCTCATCGTGGCTTTCGATAACGCGCCAAGAAAACAAAGAGAGACTTTTTTTTATTTTTTTTTTTTATCAGGTCACGTTACTCACGGTGCGCGCGCGCGCGCTCGGGTTATCATTGCCTCTCGGCTGTGTACACCTGATGCGTGCGCGCTCGGGACTCTCTCTCTCTTATCGCTCTCTTTGGCAATGCTTGCTCTTTCTTTTCTATTTTTTCCTCCGTTACGACACTTGTGCGGCCAGTGCAAGGAACAACAGTCGTTTCGGCCGAAAAGCTCCTCGAGCTTGCGCTGCCGCGTTTCGAAAGCAGGCGCGAAAGAGCCACGAAACCGCACTGTGGCTGCTCAAACGGAAGAAGAAGAAGAAAGAAAGAAAGAAAGAAAAACGAGGGCAAACTTTGCAAGCGGAGCTAACCAGCTGCGCCAAAAGGCGATGGAAGACTGCAGCGGTGCACGCGCGTGTGCAGCCGAGGGAAAGACGAAGAAGAGAAGTAGAGGAGGAGGATCGAGGCGAGGCGGGCGTCGCAGTCACCAAGCCCCTCCCGGAGGAACGCACCTCCCTGCCCCCGCGAGTTGTTTCTATTTATACGCGGACCCAAGGCGGTCGCGCTCTCGCGCGTGGCCCAAAAAAAAAAAAAAAAAAAAAAAAAAAAAAAAAATTTGAAAAACAAACAATTGGAAACGGAAAAACAGATGGGAAACACACACAAGTGCGAGGAGACGTATGAAAAACGGGTTGTACCAGGAGAGACGGAGGCACGGATTTACGTACGTGTGTGTATAGACGGAGTACCGGCCTCCCTGACCGGCGCTCCAAGACTGCCGACTCGAAAAAGCTTTACACCAGTGCCCACCGCGGGGCTGAATCTCTCTCCTCTCTCGCTCTCAATCTATATCTATAGACCCCCCTCACTCCACCCCAGGAGGGGGGGGGGTCTTTCTGCTCCTCGTGTAGGTGTACGTTACGGTGACGTCGCGGCCCGGCGCAAGCGCGCGCGATCGCCCGTCAGTTCGATAACGCCGGGCTCACTTTATACACATGTACATGTATACCTATACAGCTCTCTCTCTCTCTCTCTCTCTCTCTCTCTCTGTGTTCTATACTTACGCTCTCTGCTCTGTTTTTCCCCTTTCGCGGACGGTCGGCTCTGCTGCTGCGTGTTTGCAGCACATAGGTATAGAGAGAGAGAGAGCGACGCAGCAACGACAGCCGAGACGAGGCTCCCCCTTCCAACCCCCTGTATACGTATATATACACGTCCAACCATCATCATCTCCTCCTCTCCTATATATACATACCATTGCCTTGGGCGAAAATTTCAGATGGAGTAGCGTACCCCAGTTATACGTGTACACAGGGTGGCTGCGTGACGCTGACAGCGCTGGTGGTGGTGGTGGTGTAAACGCTGCGTGAGCGCGGGCCACTTTTCCTCGCCTGTACCACCAACCCCCTTGTTGCGTATCGCGCTTGCTGTCCGTCTATACATATATACACACATACACACGACCTGAGAGTGGGTTTCGGCTTCCTTAGCCCACCCTCACTCGGTTGGATCGTCGGGCCAGCTGCTGGACCTTTCGGCTGCAGACGTCGTCGTTCCATGCCCCCCCCCTCCACGCTCTCTCTCTCTCTGGGGGTGACACGATTTTGCGAGTCTTACTGCCTCGATGGTTGGCCCCTTTTCCCTTTCGGGGCCGATAATCTCGTCGTTCGATGAAAAAACAAAAGAAAAAAAAAGAGAAAAAATCCCGCGATCGGAAAAATTAAGGGATGATGATTCGTGCGTACTTGTGTACATATACTTTCGGTGATTTGCGCGCGGATAAGAGAGCCCGGTGTAATAGACGCTCGTGGGCGCGTTGCTGCACCAACACCAGATATATATAAATATACCATACCGCGAGGCGGGGGGGGGGTCCCCTCCTTCCTTTCGCCGTACAGCAGCCAACCAGACCGTCCCCACCCCCGTGCCCCTTTTTCAGAGAGATGGAGAGAGACCGCAATAGCGGGATACCTCCGGCGCGTGACGTCCAGTGTTTCCAGCTCGGTACCCCCCTCGATCCGTTGGTGTGTGTGTGTATACAGTGCGCCACCCCTTCCGACCCGCCCGATCCCTGTGTGCTCTGCTGGGTCTGCCACCGTGGCTGATTGCGAGGGCGCATCCTCGCTCTTCTTCTTTTTCACCCTCTGCTATCTCTGGTGTCTCTCCCACCCCCCAACTTCGGAAAGGGAGCGTTGTAGTTCCCCGATGGTTGAAAAGTCCCTCGTTATTTATCCGCGTTTTTTGTCGCCCGCTGCGAAAACAAAAAAAAAAAAAAAACAAAAAAAAAATGTATTTCCCGCCACCGATACGTAATCGGCTATTTGTCTCCTCCGGCAAGAGAGAGAGAGAGAGTGGGTGGAAGACGTTAGGGAGATGGATGGATGTTTCGGTTATGGGGATTGGCCATGATTTTTATGGCGGGTCCGAGGGGCATGGTTTCCACCGTACCAAGGGATCATTGGCTTGCTTTTCCTCTCGGAGGACCTGTGTGACATATATAAATGTACGTACCTGGTTGTCGGGCATCATTCATTGATGGGGTGGTGTCCTGAGAGCAAGGTCCTTTTCAAAAGTACACCTTGGATTTTGAAACAGGCTTTGCTCGTTTGCACAAATGTTTTAAGGCAAAGTTTTAGTCGGGGCAATGGTAACGTTAAATGTGTATATACAAGGGTCGATGATCGATGCTACGTAAACTATTTCGTCAAGCCTATTTGGCTGAGAAAATTTTTTTCCTTCAACGATTGAACGCAAGAAAAAAGTGCGGAGCGAAAAACGTTTGCATCGCGGATTGTATAGGCTCGCAAGTTTTTTCACTCGACAGCCTTTTTCAACGTTGGCTTCGTCCGTTCAAAAGTGTAACCGGTTAGACAGTTGGTCCACCGTAAATTTGGTTGCTCTTCGAATTCTTGTCAACGCAATTGCAATGCATTCTATAATTAATAAAAAAAAAAAAAAAAAAAAAAAAAAAAAAAGAGAGAGAGAGAAATTCCTACCACATGATATACTTACTTGGATTTTTTTTAATGTTGATGAAAAAAAATAGATACATTTGACAAATAACTGCCGAACGTTTGCCATGCATTTTTTTTACCGTTTACTTTCTGAGAAACGTCCTCCTCAAATCAACCATACGACATGCCTTTAATTAAAAAAAACTAAAATAAAAAATAATCCTGTGTTGCGCGCAATGCTTTTTGGTCGAAAACTGACCAAATATCCTTCCTTAAAGCAATGTTATTCGTGTGCCGGTGTCCATGCACGCAATCGTTCGGGAAGAAGCGAAAAAAAGCAACGAGAAATATTACAATTAATAAAATTAAAAAAAAAAAAAAGACAACCTACACCTTGAATCTTTCGTCGCGTCTCTCCGCAGCCAACTTGGACAGAGACACCCTGGGCCAGCGCGCGTCCGCTTTATCGATCTCGTCCACCGCCACGCGCCCACACACACGCACCAACACCGACACCAACAATTAATCCCCGTCTCTCTCGCCCCTCGAACCTTCACCTCCCCCCCCCCACCATCCCCAAACGAACGAACATTTAAACAATCTCCCGCTCGCCCGCAGACGCCCGGGTCCTGCTCGCCCGCAACTTTCTCATTTTCCCGACTCCTCCTACCCACCCCCTCAGAGCCCGAAACGAGAGAAAAACTCTTCCCTCCCAATCAACAATTTTCTCACGCACCTATACACCCGTGCACCGTAATTCACCCGCTTCGTGATTCCACCCCCGATGCGACCAACTCGGGGAAAAAAAAACAACTCCACTCGCCGCGTGATCTCCGTTTGATGATCCAAGCAACAAATCAACAGCCAAACTTTTTTCAATAACTCACTTTTACGCGCGCGGTGTATACATCCCTCCCCCCAATCAGCGTATATACATAACAACAGCATCATCGGCAATAGTGACGTATATGATGGCCCCTCTTATCATCACCGGCAATCGGGCGCGCACGCAACCACTTCCTACTCCCTGCCTCCCGTTAAACCGGGTGCGCTCGTGTGTACCCCAAACACTGGGCGACGTGCGGATGGACTCTCTTTCGCCCGCTGCTCGCAAGCGTGTATGTATGCGCGCACTTATTAATTTCGCAAAGGGAGCGCGCGGACCCTTAATCTCTCGGTCCACCCTCCGGTGAGCGCCTGTTGTTCATCGTCCCCCTTTCGTGTGTATGTATAATTCGCGGCCAACGGCCCATGTGCGCCGGTCCCGGGCATCGATGTCGCCCGGGAACTCGACTCCGTGCAACAGACATTTTCCATCTCTCTCTCTCTCTCTCTTGAAAATAATTTTAAAAAAAAACAACAACGAGGACGGAGAGCCGCGCTCCCGAAAAAAAAAAACAGAGGGGCAGGTGTAGCGTATTTCTACATCATACAGAGGGAGAGAAAAAAAAAAAAAGACCTGCGGCCCCCCTCCGGCGATAAGTGGCTCGAAAAAGAGAGAGATCGGTGCAAGGCATCCCGCGTGTTTGATTTCGGGCGCCGATTTCCGGCCGATTATTCACGGCCCCCGACACCCTATTAACGCTCATCGTCCCACTCGACCTTTTTTTTTTTTTTTTTTTTTTTTGATACATCGGCGGGGTTCCCCACATCCCCCTTTTTTTTTCTTTTTTTTTTTCTCTCTCGGCTTTTTTATCCTCCAGACACGCGACCAGACGCAACACACCAACAAATCAGGGGGGGGGGCCCAGGGATGGCGTTGCCGTCGATACGCGTATTATGGGCTCCTTAATTTGAGGGGGCTGTAACCCTATGTATACTACCAATTTTTTTTTTTGTTTCCTTTATGTACAGGGACCCGCAGAGCTACCGCGTGCTTAAGTGCCCGGCGAGCATTAGGCACGTCGGGGCGATCATTTTGTCTATTTTCGGGAGTCTCGCGTTAACAAGTGCACGTTGTATGTGTGTATATACATATATATATATATATATATATATATTCCGAACAGCATCCCGAAAGAGAGTCCAATTAAGGGGGGAAGCTGTATCCCACACGCGTGTACGGTGATTTCTTCTTTTCGCACACACACGTATACAATGTATATATATATATAAATATACTTATACGTGCCTGGCTCTTCTTTTTTATCTCCCTCACACGCGCGCGTTACATGTATGTGTTACAACGCACTTGCGTGGGTCTTTTCTTCGTCTTCTTGTTGTTGGGTCACCCCGAGTTCACGCACGCACACGTTGTTTCATTGCCGGGAGAAGAGAGGACCCGACGACGTCGATTTTATGAGGACGGCAGCGGGGCATCTATAGCGCGTCGAGAGTTAACTACGTTAGTTCCGACGATCCGTCCTCTCACTATATAGTCGTCACCGGGGGACGAGTAGGAAAAAGAGAGGGCTTCCTTGCTCATCTCTCCGTACATATACGGAGCCATACGAGGTCTTGGTTGGCAAAAAAAAAAAAAAAAAGGGGGGGGGGAGGGTAAGAACGGGATTTAACGTCACACCCCGCGTTTCGATCGCTACATATACGCACACACGCGTGGTATAGCTCCCAAGATATCCTGAAACGAAAGCCAAGGAGCGGACTGCCTTTTCCTTTTCAACCTGTCCGAGAAAAGGGGCAGGAGGAAACACGTGCGCGCGGTTAGTCACGAGTCTTGCCGATTCCTTCCTTTTTACCCCCCCCCCCTCGGGCTTTCTTCCTTGCCTTTTTTTTTTTTTTTTCCTTGCCTTTCATCCGAAAGGAAGCTCATATAGAGGAGAGAACTGTAATTGTGTATATATATATATTGCGTGCGATCGAGAGTTACTCCAACAACTCCGAAGGGATACTACCGTATGTACTCTTCTCGGGGTCTTCATGGCGAATCAGGGTGGTTCGGGGGGGGAGTAGGGGGTACAAAGTTAAAGCGGAAGAGATGATGTTATGGGCGCGAGCCGAGGAAAAACTGACGATTTTACACCAGTACAACCGGGCCCTCCCTTCGGCTGTGCATGTATATACAATCCTCGAGGATATTGGATTAGGGCTGTTTTTAAGCGCAAGGGGAGCATGTTGCTTTCTTCAAATACGCCAAGTGGAAGGAGTGGGGGGAGGAGGTGCTCTTTTTTTTCTTTCCTTCTTTCTTAAAGTAAAATAAATAATTGATTGAATTTGAGAGCGAGCAAATGGGGCGTTTAGCACCCTTGTGTATACGAGACGTAAGGACTTTTTTTTTTTTTTTTTTCGCTCGCTTTGGTTCACTCCGATGCTTATACTCTAATTTTTCTTTTCTGCCCGGGGTGCAGAAATGGTGTTTCGTAATTGAGAGTCCATTATAGCTTTTCCTTCCTTTTACAGATAGGGATGATTTTTTTTTTCTCTCCTTTATTCTTATTGCGGTGTATCCGTTTCAAGGGGTGGATCTGACGTTTCAAGGGTTTTTTTCTTCAAAATTGCGTACATTTTTTCGTCACAAGATCACATGCAGCTACGCACGTATTTAAGTATATACGGAACTCTAGGTTTTTCAAGTTTATCCGGAGTTTTCGTAAGTATACTATAATATTTGTTACTATTGTACGTATTTTGTAGCCTTACGTTTGGTTGGAAAACCCACTAGTAATATCATAAATTTCTTTTACTTTAATAAAAATAACTAAATATTTTTATTTTTTATGTAAAATTTTTGTTCCCACCACAAAAATAAAAAGTCCCATCATTAAAATGGAAGGAAGAACAAAAGATCTTGTCTCGTTATTGCCTGGATTTTAAATCAAATGGATCAAAGTGTTTTTTAAACTTTGGCCACTGCTCGATTATATATTTTATAAATATACAACACACACATTCATCGTGAGGTTTTTTCAAACACAACGATATTCAATGGATGACAAATAAAACGCGTTATTCAACCTTTAGTCTGTAAAAATAAAATTATTACCTGCATCAAATCACTTGTAAATATAACAATCGCAGCCTTGAAAACCATGAATGTCATATCTAAATCTTTAGTCATACCCCCCTCTTATTTGTACACAATGAATTTGCCAAGACAAACTTCGCCGAACATTTCCAGTTTGAATTACAATAAACCTATCGGCAGTTGGTTTATTATTAGTCGTTCAAGAGGAGCGTACGAAAACTCTCGGTTCCTTTGTCTCGAGGTTGTATTCTTTTGAAAGGGCAACGTCCCAGTGAACTGAAAACTGCAGGTGCATGGCTTCGAAAAATTTTGTTCTCAGGTGATCGAATTTGGTGGTGTTTGAATGTGTCTACATCAATTCTGCAGGAGCCTCTGGCCATAGGTAAGCAATTCGAGGTGCCATTACGATAAATTTTCTTTTTTACATGATTTTTCATATTCGTGACCTTGAGCGCATTATCGTTGTCTCAAGAATAAAAATGCATTGATGCGCATACACTGATTTTTCAAGGGTAAATATAGTACATGTAGGTGACAACTAAAGTATTACTTTGAGTAAAAGTTAGAGACGTATAATTTATTGTTTGTCTTCTACGCTTATCCAAAAGACTTTAGGCTTAATCATAAATCTATAAATGTATACGTACGAAGACAGGAAAACGTGATACTTGACGCGAGACTTGTTTACTGTTGGCATACAATATACGACAAATGGCTCTCGCAACGTAAACTCAAATTTAAAACACGAAAATACAGCATATCGCGTTTTCCTCGTATCGATTGACCTCAATCGTCGTTCTTAAAAAAAGTTACAATCGATACCTGTAAAAAAATGTATATATTTTTTTGTTATCAAGTTTTTGAAATATATTATTAAAAAATGTAGTAAAAAATGGCCCACCGATGGTTGTACTGATGTTTTATTGATGTTGGAGAATGTAAGTAATACATCACATGTCACTTGGGAATCAGCCAGATCTTGATAATGTTCGATCATCTTCGATACGAAGGAAAATATTAAAAATATATAACACAGTGAAATAAATACAAATGCCAATTATAAAATCCATTAATTATCAATGAAAAAAGTAATTGATGCGCAAATTCTTAAAACTTAGTCCTATATACTTACAGATACTTCAGGAAATGAAAAATATGGACCCGGAGTATTTGATGTCACACACCGAGTGGAAAAAAGTAAATTTGGTAAGCGGATACTACTGCGGTTATCAGTTGATCGGTGATACCAGGGTATGTACATATTGCATATATATGCGTATCGTAAATCTTTCAAGAATTTTTATTCAATGATTGAATTATTGAGTCGGTATGGCAATAAATTTCAGTTAGGAGTCAGTTGTAATGAAAAAAATAGCACCCAATATTTATAGATGATGAGTACGAAGAATGGGAAACACTTGTTTGAAACGACGGGCTTATGTCTTTGTACGTACGAGAAGCATGTAAAGCTGAATGAATAATTTTACAGTGGTGGGACAAGTTGGAGCAGCATTTGAAGGAGAAGAGAGACTGGATGCCTCTTTTGGTTGGAATGGACGTAAGGACAAAATTGGACAAACATGGCAACGGCTTGCTTCACTACGCCGCTAAAGCGAACGACGAGAAATTGGCCGCCCACTTGATATCGTCGGGATGTGACGTCGACGAGACAAACCACGATGGTTTTTCGCCCATCGCTGTCGCAGTGATGTTCAACAGCCACAGAGTGGCAAAGCTACTCGTCGAGTCCAAGGCAACGCTCGAAAACGTCCCTTTGATTTACAATTTTGGATTGCTCCACGTGGCTGTTCTCGGTGGAGCCCACGATTGTTTGGAACTGCTACTCGATGCCGGCGTTGATGTCAACAGTGTCGACGATGATCAATGGGGCCTCTTGCACGTGGCGATTCACTTCAAGCAATGTAAGTGTGTTGGATCTCGAGCGAATGTATACTGGTGACGGAAAAAAACAATGGCATTTTACAGTTTTTTCAAACTTTTGCACCATAAACGTATGTATTTACACACATTTATGTTACCGATAAAATTAAATTACATCGGTTTGCAAGGATATTCAAATAACGTACATTTAATGAGAATAAAGAAAAAAATCACTCTTCAGGCCGAGAAAATCCCGAAAACCACAAGATGATCAAAAAAATCCTCGACCGTGGAATAAACGTGAATACCAAGTGCCAAAACGGAGCCACAGCATTGGATTTTGCTTGCGTGCACAGCTACTCAACAGGGATAAAGCAGCTACTGAGCGCCGGAGCTCAAGGTGAGGGAAAAAAAAAAAAAAAAAAAAACATCAATTGTCCTACGGTTGTTCCTAAGGATAATTCGACCCTTACAGGATCGTACCACACCAGCCTGCTGATGAGCCTCTGTAGCGATACATATGATCAAACCAGGACATTGTTGAGAACGAGGAGCCAACGCGGATCGAACCGTAAAGTGTACGAGAAGTTGAAACATCTGCAAGCGGAGCAGCAAGAAAAGGCAAAGCTTCTCATCGAGGCTGGAGCTTCGGTTGTTCATTCCGACACCAAAAACCTCCTGATCCTCGTCTACGCGTGTGCGACTCTGAATTTAGATTTGATCGAGCTGTTGCTGGTCAATGGTGTAGCTACCGTCAAACAAAAGTACTGTTTGATCTCTCGAGTAGTTGTATCCCCGGTGGTGTTGCCAATCATCTCGTACAACACGTACTCCCTGGTGCATCGCAACAAAAGTCACGACGAGTACATCGAGGAGGAATCCGGCAGGGAAATAGTAATTATTATCTTGTGTATTTTTAACATGATTATTGTGTCTTTCTTTATATACACGTGTACACACTATAGTTGGGCTGTCGAATTAAGATTTTTAATGCAATTAATAATAATGTCTCGGACGTTTACGTCGTTATGGTCGCTCGTCGTGAAAATAATCTTAGTTCTTGGCTGTTTTCATCTCTGCGTCGCTGTATTTCTTTATCTCAAAAACCAAGAATCAGTCTTACAACCTAGTGATCATACTTTCATCGGTCCGTCTCTACTTTACCAAATATGTTTTTTTTTTTCATCATCTAGATCTCTGACTTTACAGTTACATTTTGTGCTATTTTTTTTTTTTTTTTTTTTTATACATATATTCCTTTCAACCCTGTATTTTATTAATTATTTATAAACTACTTACGGTCGATTTTTGAACGATTGATAACTTTTTTCTAAACCGTTACATCCTTTTTAATTATCTTACATCTTTTTCATCACTTCCCTACGAATGAATAGTCTCTATACTTTTACAGATTTTTCATTTCATGTATATACGTTTATACAACCCCACGTGAACGCACCACTATTTTCCCCCATCTTTATATTTATACTGCTTTCTCAACTTTTTTGACTGTGAATTTTTAATACTTCAACTGTTGTCATAATTATCCCCCAAAAACTCTTGTCTCCATTTCTTGATAAATATTGTTGTTTTCGCATCAATTCCCCTTGAAATCTTCAATTAAAAAAATATTCACACTCATGCTGATTTTAAAAATCGCGGGAGGTTGTAGGGAAAACAACATGGAAAGAATGAAATTTCACGAAGGCCCAGCCGACTCCTCGACACTTTCCACCAAAGGCGAGGATCTACACGATGCTCGTGCGCACTGACCTTCATCCGCATCAAGAAATACTTTACCTATATACTTATTCTTCAAAATACTGTACAGGATTGTGTGGGCATAATGTATTTCAGGTCGACACCCAAGTGAAGTGCATCAAACTCTTACTGAGGCACGGAGCCGACATCAACGTGAGCGACGTGGTATTCAAAAATGGTCATTCCTGTGCGCCGATTTGCGCGGCCGTTTCTCTGAGCCACAGTGCGGTGGTGCGCCTCTTGTTGACCAGCGGCGCGAGTTTCGATTACGAGAACCAGTTCATCAATTTCGGCAGCCGGAAACAAGCGCGAAATCTGCACGAGGTAATCAAGCACACGGCCAAGAGGGAAATGCTGGGCCAGAGGAGTACCGGACCACTGATAGTCAACTTCAAGCTGGATACGCTGGACGAGGATTGGCGGGGGGTTTATTTGAAGTGCGTGGACGAGCTGAGCGCGTCGAAACGGACGTTGTGCTGGAGCCAGGGGGCGGTGACCTTTTGGAATCTGTTGACCGATCGCAGCCTCGAGTCGTACGCGTCCAACCAGAGTCTGGTGTCCGCCGTGAAGAAGCCCAACGTCGAGAGGCGCTTCCCGATCTTCGGCGAGGAGATCACGGGGCGCTTCTCCGAGGCGAAAATGAGACAAAGGTTGCTTAGGAACGCAACCGGTGTCCTTTGCCGGATGTTGGCTTGGAACGTCAACGCCTATCCCCACGTTGTCCGCGACATTTTGCGAAACTTGCCCGACACCGATCTGGTATCTTTGGCGCTCGTGTGATTTTTTTTCCGTCGATTCTTTACTACCCCGTGTTCTTCCATACGTAGATGTAACAAAGTGCCGAAAATCGAGTTCTATTCGATCAAATAGGATAATCCAGGAGTGCTAGTCGGTTTTAGAGCAACGCGCAGTTTTACGTTTTTATGGTGTTTTCGTTGATAAAAATGTTCCGTGATTTTAACCAAGTGATTGAAATACCAAAGTTTTACCATACAAAAGTTTGGCTCTTCGTCGTGAATTGATAAAGCACATTTTTTTGTACTTTTATGCATTGGTTTCATAAATTGACGTTTATTCACGTTTTTACATCATTAGTATACATTTTTTAATTTATGTTAAAAGAAAAAAAAAAAAAAAAAATTAAAAAAATTGTGTGCCAATAATATAGCGTACAAATAAATGGTAAAGGAATTCGTGAAAAAATATTTTCTCCACTTTAAGGGATCACGTACGAGTGCCTTAAAAACCAAATGTTTTATTAACTGTACACAATTATGAATTTTAATAAATAGTAAATAATTGTACAGTGAGTTGACAGTTTAGTTGATTTTTTATAAAAGAATGGAATTTTTTACTTTTGTATTTATCGATGAATAATAAAGATTACCAATCGATAATACAATCAACAGAGACTAATCTATTTATTACGTAACCGTACTGTCATTTTTAATAAATTTTTTATCAACAAATTGATTGAATCTCTTCATTTTATAGCGTTTTCAGTATATTTTAAATTAACTTTGCGAGTGACTTTATAATTATTATTATTGCTTTTTAAAAATATATCACGTAACTTTGTTACAATAAAATTATTTCAAGATCCCTTTTAAAGTAAAGATTACATTTTTACTCTCAAAAGTATAGTATGTTGTGATAATTTTTAAACACAAATACCGAGTATTTGGAAAATAGAAAAATTTTATGTTATATGGTTTTTTTACATTCAATTTTCATTTTACCATTTTTACTTGGGAAAAGTAAAGCCACATGATCGGTCTCAAGCAATATAAATGTACGTACACACCTGTATGTAATATATTATAGACGAAATTGTTTCACTTTATCAACTAAAATCGATTTAAAATTCAGCATTGAAAAGAAATTGTTTTAAAATTCAAATGTTCCCTCTCACTGTTGATTAAACCCAATACGCTGGCGTTACAAAAACACTACCCCACGAAATGTTGAATGAATTCAATCTTTTTTTTTCTTTCTCTAATCTTATAACGCGGTAAGAAAAATTTCATCAATCGAGCAGGGATTACCATTGAAAATTTGCATAAAGCAGCAGGCGTCAATGTCCCAAATATGGCACTTACATAATATGCTGAAAATACACACACACACACCCAACTATTTGGTAGTGCAGGGTGCAGGCAGTGAAGATCAATTCTCTCTTGAATTAAAGAACGCATTGTCCTTATAAGTATGGGAGCACGCAGTGTAGCAGATCAAAGGGTCGGAGACTGGCCGATGCCCATTGGAGTTGTATACCTTACACGACTAAATATGAGAGCACCGCGTGGGAGCGCGTGCACGCGTGTATGCAGTATATGTATACGTACCGAGTCTTTCTCATGCGTCATTCTGCACATATGTACAATGAATGCGGTGTGTACATGATCCGCGTTATATATACGTAACGGCCGTCTCGTGTGCGGATATAATGTATTAAGCGTTGCTGCAGCAGCAGCAGACGCGACAGTATATTATGTAGGCATGTGTACAGTGTGCAACAATAATTGTGCCACTGCAGCTGGCAGATGGAATTTTTACTCGGTCGCGTACGTGCGATTGTAAAAAAAAGAAAAAAAAGAAACGGCTCGCCTATGATGTGTATATATATATATACATTTGTGGTGTCGATGAACTTTCGAGAGTTTAAACTAGCGCTTGGTCTTGGCCTGCTTTATTCTGCCTCTTCCCCCCCCCCCATATTCTTACGTATGCGTTATACTTTTGGAGTTTGACAAAAAAATGTTTCATCCATCGGTCGAAAATTGGATGCAATCGTTGCGATTTCAATGCGGGTTGTTGTTACACTCATTAGGTTAATTTTTTGTTTGAAAAAAAAAAAAAAAAAAAAAAACCTTTTGATTCCCTTGGTTTATCCATCGTTACGTGCAAAAGAAAACACCAGAATCCTTTGTCATTAAAAGTAAACGATTATGATTTTTTTATTAATAAACCAAAGCAAATGTGCAAAAAAAAAATAAAAACCACGTGAATAAAAAAAAACAAACATCATTTGTGTATGCGACAGTATAATGCAGATGAAAATGACAAAAATAACAATTTCGGAGCTGCAACTTTTACGACAAATCACCTCGCATGGCCAACATTTGATTCGACAAAGTATATACACGTATACGTCCCGAAGGCCAAACGCACTTCTCGACCGATTATACTTCCTAATAAGCTACAAAAGTCACGGCAAAACCCTCCGCACGCAAGCCAAACGCATTATGCAAATAAAATCTCTCTCTAGGCTATCACACTACGTACGTGTATACCCACGTGCACGAGGCTCCGGGAAAATGTTTATTCATCCGGAAATTCGATTCGACTAACGCGATATCGGACCAGCTTGGGGATCAAAGAGAAGAGGGGAGGGGGCGATGAAAATCCAAAATCAGCGTTGAGTAAAATAACTTTGATCAGATTCTCGTGTGCGAGTCCTAAGCGCGTTACAGATGCAAATACAAAAGAACTCCAGCGTCGCACGGGGGCAACACTGGTTTATCGAGTTATTGCCGAAAATTGCCCCACACGCGCACGGGACATGGTGTGTGTGTGTGTGTGTGTGCAGGATTACGTATACATAGACGCGGCTCTGAGCCTTTGATCTTCGCGGGTGGGCTAAATGCATCAGGTCTATGCGGGAAAAGGGTGAAGTTATATATATGTGTGGTGACGAAATATTTTGAACATAGGTACTTTGTGTTTGGTTTACATGGTAGATGACAGATTTTTCGTTGATTTTTACAAAAAAATATAGTGCTTTTGTATATTCAATGGGATTTGACTTGTGGGTACAATTATACTTGATTAGGTCCAATTGACATGTAACTAATAATTATGTTACTTAATTCCCGAGAGACTGATCACTTACTGCGTTTGCGCTACTCAATTTAACGCAATTATGTCGTTTTCGTACAGAAATGCTTTACTATCACTGAGAAAAAAAAATTACTCCACTAGAATGATAATCTGGTGTTATTCCGTCGTCTAAGAACTTTTTATTTTTGACAATCTAGTTTTATTACCGTTTAATTATTGGGCAGTAGTTTTTGCTATTCAAACAGTAAAAATCACTTTACTTACGATACCAAAATTAAAATTACCGTGCAAGCAGTGAAAAATAGATCTGATGTACAATTTGTTGCTAAAGTTGTAATGTATTATTAATTTGTGCTGCAAGAAATTTTTTAAAATAATTTTTACGATACAGTACGTAACAAAATTTTTTCCAGCACTGAAATTTGCACTGAAATTTGAAATATATACATTGCACGTATTTGCCAGAAAAATTTTTTTTTTCCTGTTATTGTACCCCAAATAATGATGAAATTATTTCAGCAAAAAGAATTAACTTAAATAATAAAAAAAATTTTTTCTCAAGTATTTAAAAATATATAAAATAATTGTCTAATACATAAAAAATAATAATAAACATACAAAATAATAATTGGCTCAAGTCTGTCATTGTTAAATTATAAAATTTTTATAATTTTGTTTTCATAACTGCGTACTTGTGATTCGTGATACACCTATTCCGTAACTGTTACTGCAGTAGTGCCGTTCGAAAAACGTTTGGAAGAAACAAAAAAAAATAAAACAAAATTTCTGGCTTTTTCAATCTCCGTGAATCCAGTACCTCTGTATACCTACTTATGATATTTATAGCCTCTGCACGCAGTAAACAGCTCGAGATTGGCATCCATACATTATGCGCTACACCAAACGACCCAGAGTAGGTGTACAGTCATACAAACCAAGCGCATATGCGAACACATATCATATACCTACGTACGCATAATCATCAACATATGTCGACTTCTGGGCTTGACGTCGTTCTTTTCAGAGCTTTGCACGCGCAGTTATACAGGTATACATATACTGTACGAACATTACGAAAAGCGTCAAAGTAAAGATCAGAAAGTGCGTGCACACACACATATTATGTACGTGCACGAGGGAGAGAACGCAGAGGAGAGACGATCGATCGCACGATAATAGCGTATGCCCATACGGCGTATAACACACGCGCTCATTCGAGCCAGAGTCTGCGCTTTTGGTTTTAGGTGAAAGATAGACAAGATGGATACAGATGTGATTTTTATTTGAGATAAAATGTTGTGTATTTCTTTTGTTTTTTTTTACCTTTTAAATCATCTTTACGGCATAATTGGGCTTTTTAGCTAACCTGTGCAAATCTTTTGCTTCAAACTAGTGTTACTTAATCCTATCTTTGTATACACTGATCGACTTAAGAGATTTTATTATAATTTCTTGTTCGAAGTCAACAAATCATCAAGTATCCACGTGCAGACTTGTGTATAATTGTTTTATGGATTTTCAAATATTTTAAGCAAAAATTTCAACGTTAAATACAATGCTTTTATTTACTAAAAAAAAACTTTTTTATTCTTTATTATTCTCAATAAAATTTTCTTTTCTTTTCTAGTAATTAGGTGTAATAAAATTGTTGAATATTGAATTTCATTGTAATGTGTTTGAAATGTAATATTTAGTCCATTATTTCTTCTAAATTGTTATTACCTGAGGAATAAATATTAGTTAAGCACTGCGTTACAAGTAGTCCTTAAAAAATTTTTTTTGAGTGCACTACATTTTTATTCGTACCTAAGTCTACCTATACGTGTAAACACACAAAATAATATACTGTATACAGAAAAAGCACAAACGATGTTTGATGAATATGCAATGAAAAATAAGTCGATGTATTTATTCACCGGAAGTGGATACGCGTGTCGTAAAGAGGGAAAAATAACTCTAATATGTTAATACGAGGATCATCCTCCAGGGACAAAACGCCGCTAAACGCCCCTCGATCGCCCTCGAACAAAAGCAGGCAGCTGATCTCAATATTCATCATTATCAGTCAATTCCGAATAACTTCCGATACTTACCTACCCATAAACCCCGCAGTCGTTCGTGCCGAAAGGCAAAAGGCGCGTCGTTTCTCCCCCTTTTCCTCCCTCCCCCAACCGTCATATCCGAAATCGTAGCAATACACAAACGCACGAGCGAGCCGCTCTCCAAATTGATTTCC